CCCAGGCTGCGAGGCCCGGGCGCCGGCCGCCACGGGGGAGCGCCGCGCTGGTGGCTGAACCCCAGTCACACGCCGTCCGGTGAATTTTGTCGAGGTCTCCCCTCTGGCATCGCATAGCAGCGCTTCTCACACGCACGAACACAAAAACCTCGGTTTCCAGCGTTTGAGTCAGCAGCAAAAACCCGCTTAAGACAGCCCTAAAAATAAATTAAACAACAACAACAAAAAAAAAAAGTCAAAGAAAGAGAAGGCGGTGTTTTGTTCAAGACTATGCATAATTCATAGCCTTTGTTGTAATTTAGGGTCAGCAGGTAGCGTGCCCAATGGAAGGCGTTCAGTGTGGCGCAGTGCTGTAGCAGAAAACTAACATGTGAATCTCCTCAGAATCAGCTCCCCACAAATAGTCTCCCTGCATCTTATTCCCATACCCTGGGACTGTTTTCCACAACATACCCTGCTTGCCATCTCCATTTTTGCTCAGGTCTTGAGCCTTCTTGCAGCTCTGCAGTTCCCTTTGAAGTTCCGCTGGAGTGCAAGGCATTCAACACCTAAAATTAAGGCTTCTTGGATAAAACTTTATTCATGGCAGTAGAAACACAAGAATTGGTGAAAGTATTTGCATGTAGAAAGGATTTTAGCATCAGACTTTTCATCTCTCAGCAGCTTGGGGCACAGAGCTGTCATATGGCTGTTTGTATGGCTGGAAAGCAATACATCTATCCCAAGCCTTGGGTACAACAGCCCTACAAATTGCAGTTCCAGAATTCCTTCCTATGAATTTTAAAGCTAAAAGTGACGGCTGTAATTACCTCACCCAGCCACTGTATTGCACAACAGTGAGTTTCATCTGGTAACCTAAGTGTATCACTAATTGCACGTTTTTAGCTAGCTGCTCAGACAGAAGAGATTAAAAGATCAGGTCAAAATTATTGTGGTGGGCTTCAGTGAGGACAGGATTTTACCCTCAACCTCTGTTCAGCATTCTGTTACTGAGTTATTATTCAATTTCTTGGGGTTTTTTTTTTTGTTTGTTTCTTCTGCTTCCAGTTGTGAGGATAACATTATTGTTCTACTGGGGGAGAGCATTAAACACCTTTTTAAAACTACTGATGATCAGCCATCATGGCAAATGCTTCTTTGAAGTAGATCTTTGTAAAAAATTACTAGCCCTGCCCACATTTTTACCACCAAGGCTCAGATGTATGAGATCTGCATGATGTTAACTATGTCCAAAAGCAATGTTGCCATATAAACTGTTTTGTGTAGGCGTGTTATTTACACCATCAAGACATAGCAATGCGAGCTTTGCTTTGAAAGTCCTGTAGCATCCCTTTCCCATTGAAGGTGTTTCCTGGTTTGTGTTTGGGTATTTTTGTTTTACTGGCTGTATCTCTGATTACTTGTATTGCACAATATAGCAGTATGAACCCCAGTTCATTGCTGGGATGTTTTACTCTGGTTCTTTTCTCCACTCCTGGGAATTTCATGCATTCTTCCCAGTGAAGAAGTCCAAAGCATGTAAATTGTGCCACCATATTAATTAGAATTGCTCAGATAATTGGGAAACATTGTGAATTTGTTCAGTGTTTGGTTCTTTCAAATAACAAAGGGTGTCTCATTCAGAAAGATGCCTTACTCAGTAGTTTGCAGCACTAGAAACTATCTTATTTTAAATCTTCTTTTAAGAAATCTCATGAAGCCAGTAGATACTCTTCTGCCTAGCATAACATAAAAGCATTAATAGGTATTTAGCTCTGTTGAGTTTGTGGAACAGTTTTTTCAGGAGACAGAAATGATCATGTAATGAAACTCAACATACTCCTTATGAGCAAGAAAATTTTGCACATAAAGTATAAGAGAGCTTGAGGGCCCATTTTCTAGTCCTTTATGAACAAATGTTCATGGCACCATTTCAAAAACCCTCCTTTAAACAAAGTCTATATATGAGGTTGGGGGGAAGGGGGTCATTTTGTTGTTTGGGTTTTTTTTAACTTGTAGTCTGCGGAACTCCCTACAAGGTGGGGGATTTCTCACAAGCATTATGGAGGTTATAATGTGAGGAAAACGGAGAGGAATCTTTCCCATTGCCTGTGTGATTCATGTTGCTGAAGTTCTATGACTAATTGCAAATTCCATAAAGGTTGATTGCTCACCACTAAATTTGCATGGGAGGTGTTAGCTGTTCTGGACTGCCCAGAGCAGGACTATACTTCTCTATTTACAGTCTTTATTAGATAAGAATTTAACTATTCAGACATTTAAAAAAGATGCTGAGAGTTTATCCAACTTACAAGCAGTATCAGAAGTACCTTGAGGACTGATAATGCTGTAATTTCCTGCTTCAGCTTTGTGTCAGACCATTACATCGACTCTTTCTCATTAATACTGCAAAACATTTTTGGAAGCTTCCAGATGAAATGTCCTAAAAATAGGACAGAGTTTACTGTGATCTTGATTCAGAACAGTTAATAGGGAGGAGTGTCTTGAACTAATTAAGCTTTGTCCTATACCTTTTGTCTAACCTAGGTGGCTTTTTTATTCCATCTGGAAGAAAAGGCAATCCATGGCAGACTTCCTCTTTTCCTCATTAATGTTTAATGGAGCTCCCGTCCATTGCTATGCACATCTGTTAAACATGGTCTTCGTTTACCCACAGGATATTTTTACCATAACATTCAGGCTTTTAAGATGGAATTTCTCTTTCTTTTGATCTTGGATTTGGTTCAGACCTCTTTATAACTTGCAGTTCTCTCGTTCCTAGACGTCTTCTTTGACTGATACAATATTTAATCTTCTGTCATCCCAGATGAGCCATTGTGCATGATGAATTAAACATCCCTGCTGTTTTCTTTGATCACAGAAATAACAATTACTCTGTTATTATAATCTCTTAACTTGTCATAAGGCTTGTATAGCTTAGATGGAAAAGACCAGTTAGATCATTGATTCCACACACTCCTTTAGAAGCAGAATACATATGGATGGCTTATATTTGAGCAAGAGACAGGTCCCTCCGCCTTGCACCCACCTGTTTGAAATTAAACTTGCAAGACGTCAGTCTTCTGTATGTTGGGGCTCTGCATTGGCCAGAAGGATTATGTAGCTGACCTACTATGATTTTTTTTTTTTTCTTTTTTCTGTCTTTAATTTGGAGTTTGGTTTTCTGGTTGCCTTTTAAATTACCTGACAATGTAGCAATGCATACTTCCAATTAAAGTGAAATTTAGGCTTCCTGAAACTGAGTGCTGCTCTTCCACCAGCAGAACAGACAACACCAATGCTAGAATTAAAAGGCCAATACTGGAGATAAAAAACAAACCAAAGCTCTCTGCTGCCTGCCTTTCCTGTCTAGTACACTGTGTATGTTTTACCAGAAAGCAATTACAATATGTGTGACTGCTTTGGGAGCCAATACTTTCACAGCAGAGCCGGTCTTGAAAGCCCTGCATAGCGGTCACTTCTACTCAACAGCCCTGTACGCTGGGCTTGCAGTTCCCACAACAACAAGTTAGTAGTCTTTCTGGACCTGATCCAAAGTGAATGAAGTCAGTGGGAACTATTTCAGTTGGCTGTAGATGAAGTAAAGCATTATAAAAATAAGTGCAAGGGAGACTGTTCTGCCATCATACACCTGCAAGAATAGCACTGTGTAGATTAGTATCTCACACTTATATAGCATTCTTTCCCATAAAATATTCAGGTGATTTTTATAAATGAGGAGCTAAGTGCTCGTAACAGATTTGCATGTGTCCAGCTGGGATTCCAGAGAACTGATGTTCTCTGGAATGAACTGGTGCTTATTCACGTCCCTTCAGCAGG